TTTGGCATTGCACCTCTCCACATGATAGATGCAAAGATTTTGTTTCCCTTTTTCAGAGAGTCTCAGACCAGAGGGCATAATCTTGAAATAAGGTGTTTCACAGTTAAGGGGGGAATTTATTCGCTCAGAGGGCAGTGAATCTGTGGAATTCTTTACCGCAGGGGGCTGCATAGTCAAGGTTTAGATAGATATTTAATCAGGAAGGAATCAAGGGCTGTGGGGAAAAGACAGGAAAATGACATTGAAGATTTTCAGATCGGCCACGATCTCATTAAAATTGATTTTTAATTCAAATGTGGGATTTGGGCATCATTGGCTGGCCAGCATATACTGAACATATGAACATATAAACAAGGAACAAAAATAGGCCACTCGGCCCTTCAAGCCTACTCTGCTACTCAATAAGACCATGGCTAATCTGATTTTAACCTCAATTCTGAACCCTGTGTATCCCAAAAACCGTCATCCCCTTGGTAATCAAAAATCTATCCATCGCTGCCTCAAAAATATTTAAAGATTCTGCATCCACTGCCTTCTGAGGAAGGGAATTCCAAAGATTCTGAGAGTAAAAAATTGTTTCCTCATCTTTGTTTTAAATGGGCAGTCCCTTATTTTCAAACTATGACCCCGCATTTGGATTCTCTCACAAGAGGCAACATCTTTTCAACATCTAACCAGTTAAGTCCTCTCAGGACCTTGTACCTTGCACTAAATCTCCTCTGACTCTTGTAAACTCCAGAGGACATAGACCTAGGCTACCTAGTCTGTCTGCATAAGGCAATCTGCTCATTCCAGGTATTAGCCTAATAAACATTTTCTGGGCTGCTTTCAATGTGTTAAGGTCCTTCTGTAAATATGGTAATCAGTACAGTATACAGTACTCCAGATACAGTCTTACAAAAGCCCTGTACAACTGAAGCGTAACTTCCCTACTCTTGCATTCAATTCCCCTTGCAATAAACCATAACATTCTGCCAGTTTTCCTGAATACTTGCTGCACCTGAATACTACCTTGTTCACACTTGTAGAAGTCATAAGAACATGAGGGCTTGGGTATGAGATGATTTGCAAAAGAACCTTCCATTGTTAAACTGTTACTCCCCAGACTCTTCTGTCCCTTGGCCATTACAATGTCTCTTCAACAAAAAAACAAGGACAAAATAACGTTTTTAAAGTGACAGCATTATCACATGACCATGATGCTATTCTAAACAAATCCCATCTGCCTACACATGGTCCATATGTCTCTGTTCCCTGCCTGATCACGTGTCTGTCTAAATGTCTCTTAAATGATGCTAAAGTATCTATTTCTACAACTTCCCTGGAAGCGCGTTCCAGGCACTTGCCACGCTCTGTGTAAAAAATGTATCTTGCATATCTCCTTTAAATTTTCCCACTCTTACTTTAAACCTATGGCTCCTTGTGTTTGACATTTCCACCCTGGAAAAACAAACTCTGACTATTCAGCCTATGCATACCTCTCATAATTTCATATACTTCGATCAGGTCACCCCTTGGCGTCTGTTGTTTCAGTGAAAACAATCCAAGTATTTCTGAACTCTCCTTATAGCTAATACACTTCAATCCAGACAACATCCTAGTCAATTTCTTTCCCACCCTCTCCAAAGCCCCCAGCTTCGTCCTATAGTTTGGTGACGAGAACTGCACATAACACTCCAAATGTGGCCTAATTGAAGTCTAATACAACTGCAATATGACTTGCCAACTTTTATCCTCAATGGCCGCACCAAAGAAGGCAAGCGTGCCATACGCCTTCTTTACCACCTTATCCATTTGTGTTGCCACTTTCATCCGGTGCTTGGTTGAGAAGTTGGTGGTGAGCTGCCTTTTTGAACTGTTACAGTCCATGTGCTAAATTCAAATTCCATTATCTGCCATGGCAGGTTTTGAAACCAAATCCCCAGAACATATTATGGGTTGCTGGATTCATAGCCTCATGATAATACCACTGAGCCATCACTTCCTAAAATGGGGCAGGGGTTAGAGGGTTGGACTTAATGGGCTACATCTTACAGTCTCATATCCTTCACTTACACGCTACTGATTTGACACGACATTGTCAGGCACAATTATACCTAAGCACCTTATTTTCTTTCATTTTATGCTAATTATAGGTGAAGAGGGATGAACAAGATAGCTACAAGTGAGATTTCAGTCATTGATTCTATCATTGACGGATGAGTATATTATGCTAATTGCTTTGAGGCAAATGACATGTTTTTCGTTGACATTTACAAATGTAAAGCAGTGGCCTACAGATCATGCAGTGGAAGCACGACAGATAATCTGTCATTTTCCTATTTGCGTTGGTAGATCCTGATTTTGTACAATGCATGTGACGTCAGTTTGCAGGCACTCCACCGTTCACAGCTTGAACAGTCGGCTGGCAATGATCACAGCTCCCGCAATACTAACAAAGTGACCAAATCTATTACAAAACTGAGGCAGTTGTGAGAACCAAAGTGACTTACTTTGCAGCAAGTTTCTTGCAAAATATTTCTTATTATGTTGCAAACAGAGCTTACATTGCCATAAAATCCTCCACTTTCTGTTAATTAAGGAGATAAGCAATGTGATGGCTGATGACAGATTGTCTGTGGAACATTAGTTCACCTGATGTAGTGATTGGAACCAGTTTGACCTCATTAACCACAAGATCATTGATTGAGATGTTAACCTGGGGCAATCAGGAAAGCCCTGGCTGACCAACATAGCCAGGAGATTTAGAATCGCCTCAGTTCAGGGGATTGACTCTGAGCTGGCTGGCCACAGTCAGTGTATTGTGCACAAGTAAATAAAGGGTGACTTGGTGATGGGATACTAGCCTCGGTAGCAGTTATTTCACTTCCTGATTACCTGCTACACCTGTGTTGCCAGCTTTCTATGTTTTGTGGTCAAATATCTCCAAGGCATATTGTGCTGCAGCTTTCTTTTGTCCTCCCTTCCAAATGAATAACTTCACATTTTCCCCACACTATAATCCATTTGCTAACTTCTCGCCCACTTACTTAACATATCAATATCTCTGTAAACTGGCGTATCCCTCTCACAACGTGCCTTTTCACCTGTTTTTCTGTTGTCTGCAAATGTGGCTGTGGCACAGTCACTTCCTTCTTCCAGGTCACTAATAATACCTTGTAAATAGTTGCAGTCCCAGCACTGATCCCTGTGGAACTCCACTTGTTACTGGTCACCAGCCTGAAAAAGAACCCCATATCCCGACTCGCTCTATCCCGACTCGCTGTTTCCCGCCTGTTAGTCAATTCCCTATCCATGCTAATATACTGCCTCCAACACCATGGGCTCTTATCTTGTGACTTAACCTTCCAAAAGAAAGAAAAAAAAAGATAACCAGGAGTTTAGAATCTCCTCAGTTTAGGCAACTAACTCCAAGCAATCTGCCCACAGCCTGTGTACAGTGCACAAGTAAATGAAGGGTGACTTGGTGACAGGATACCGGTCTCCATGAAGTTATAGTATCCAGTAATATATGTTTTGTCTAAGCTTGCTGGATCTTTAGTTTGTTTGCAGGCTTGAGAAAGCCTGGTGCTAACAGGGCTCAGAGAATGAGAGGAAGATTTGGTTCTGTGTTAGAATTGGGACAATGTTTTAAAATGTTAACTGGGATTATTCAATACTGTGCCCACAAGACACTGAATAATTTCTTGCTTTTACAATGAGAGATTGAAAAATAAAAAGCTGGCGTGTTCAGAAATGGAAAACATTTGCCTCTATGGTATCAAAGCAGAAGTTTGTCAATTTTAAGGAAAGATAGCTGGGAACTCAGTTTTCCATCATCAAATGCTAACTGCATTTAGCTGTAGGTAACGGTTATTTTTATTAGCAGTTGCCTCATTAATTTCAGTCTGAAGATAGACTGGAGAAGCTGTGACTGTTTTCCTTGGAGGAGAAGGCTGAGAGGTGATCTGATTTAAATATTCAAAATCATGAGGGGTCTGGTCAGAGTAAAAAGGGAGAAAAATGATTTCATTCACGAGATTTAATATAATTAGTAAAAGAAGCAAAGGCAATCTGAGGAAAAGTTTTTTATTAATTCATTCATGGGATGAAGGCACTGCCAGCTGGGTCAGCATTTATTGCCCAGAGGGCAGTTAAGAGTCAACACATTGCTGTGGGTCTGGAGTTGCATGCAGACCAGACCAGGTAAGGATGGCAGTTTCCATCCCTCATGGTCATCAGCAACGCAGATGGTTTTTTCCCGACAATAAGCAATGGATTCATGGTCATCGTTAGATTCTTAATTCCAGATTTTTATTGAATTCGAATTTCACCATCTGCGGTGGCAGGGTTGGGGCCGGGGTCCCAAGAACTTTACCTGGGTCTCTGGATTTAACAGTTCCGCAATAATTCCGCTTGGCCATCATTTACCCTTTTTTAATGCAGTAAATGGCTAGGATCTGAAATCCACTGCCCGAGAATGTGGAGGAGACAGGATCAATCAAGGCATTTAAGAGGGAATTGGATGTTAATTGGGAAAGCAGGAATGTGCAAGGTACTGCTGAGAAGGTAGGAGAATAGCATTGCGTGCAATGGACAGCCAGATCAGGCATGATGGGCTGAATAGCTTTATTCTACACCTAGAAATTTTGCATATCTGTGAATTGATCTTTACTTAAGTCAAACCTGAAGTCAGCTTATCTCTTGAGAACAATTTGGAGTTGCAGATTGAAGGTTATTTACAAGTCATTGAAAGTAGACCCATAGACTTGATATAGATTCACTTTCTCCATCCAAGGTTGATATATGGGTACCTGACACAAACCAATCCCCAGTCCACAATTCTGTGCACACAGAATAAGCACTTGAATTTGTTATACAATGCTGAGATGGGAAGAAATAATTTCACATTGCTGATGCCTTATTTACCTACTCAGTGAATGACCAGAAACAAAAGGCATCTGTTAAATTATGTTGCCAATCACACATTGACCTTTAATCCCATGTTGTGTTGAACTTACGTTGTGAGAGCTGCAATCCATTAAACCCTGATCACTGCTCTTTGTGGCCACGTTGGGAAACGTCCCTTTTCTTGGTGAGCTGGTATTTTCAATCTGGGAGATATCCAGGATCTAGGAGAGAAAGAAAACAAATCTTTTTCTCATCATCACAAAGCTGCCTGAATGCTTGTGGAGGAACAGCAAATTAAAATAAGCTGTACAGAGGTCAGGAGATAATTTTATTTATTATTCTTAAACATGAGCACATTTTTCACTATGCCAACAAATATAATTAGCTATTTTACTTCTAAGATATCAGCAAGAAAACACTTGCTTTGGACCAGCAAAATAAACAAAAACAGAGAGAAAGGTAACTTCACAAGGTAGATTTATTCCATTGAAAGACGTTGAGATGGAACTCACATTGAATAAGAGATCTGGAGAATATGTTTACAGATCTTGTATGCAATACATTGTCAACCCTGATATATTAATTTTAAAATCATGAACTCTAACCAGATTATATTATTGGTTGTTGCCACATAATATCCCTGAGTAAGTCACTTCTTAACAAAATGCTCAGTACTGTTTAAAACAGATTTCAAAATAAGAGACTGGGAGTGTGGTAAAATATTTTTTGTTTATAAGTATGACAGTCTTCCTTTCTGCTCACCTGAGTAATGTACAGGGAAACACAATCATATAATCAAAGACACAAGACATATTCTTCCTATTGAAGCTCAGCATTGGAGCCACTTCAACACATTATGCCTATCTACCCTTAGACATCCCTAGAGATAAAATAATCAAAGGCAGACAATGCTTCTTTCGCACATGGATGTTGACGGGAACACAGAGGCTAATATCCATTAACATAATAGAGCATTGTGAGGGGTTTGCACATATGATTATGTGGATTTTGATTAAAAGTAGATTTAATTAATTTCAGCATAATGCGCATATACTGTCTGCATGAATTTGCATGTTTAAATGAAAAATTCTTGACTGTAATTCAGGTGACAAGGTGGATGAAGTTGGTTACTATTATTGCTATTTACAATGTTGGAGATAAGGTGCTGTTTCTTTCTTATCAATACCTTCATACTAGCCTAACTTTATATGAAAGACAGTTGGAAGGGTACATAAGGGAGAATTCCAATGTACATACCACTGCCTTAATGGCATGACATGGATGCTTTAATTCCCAGGGAAGACAATACTGCACACTGCACATTCTGAGGAAGAGTCACCTTCCTTTGGGAAGGGTAACCGGAAATGTTAACTCTGTTTCTAACTTCACACTTGCTGCCAGACCTGCTGAGCCTTTCCAGTAACTTTATTTTTTGTTCCTGATTCACAGAATCTGCAGTTCTTTTGCTTTTTGTTTTGTCACTGCATGCTGCTACCTGCCTGTCTGTCTTGTTGTTCAATGCCATCAATACCAAGTAGCAACCTACCCCTGGGAATCAATATAACAGCATGAAATTAATGAAATTCACAGTCTTTGCTGTTTTACTTGCCTATTTAATTTTCCACAACTGGTGGCACATATAGAATCACAGAATATCCAGCATGGAAGAAGGCTATTTGGCCCATCAAGCCTGCAAAAGCCTGAAGGGTTCTATGTCAGAAGGATTGCATTGGAGAAGGAAGAAGTGAAGGAAGAAATTAACAATTCTTGAGATTAATAAGTGGTTTTCATAGATACTGGAACAGTACTGAGAAATGTAAGGAAATAAATCTGATTCCAATGTTACTAACTCTATCTCCTATTTTGCAAAGAATTAAAAGAATAAGCGGATGATTGCAGGTATTACTGAAGCGAGTCATGGACATACAGAATGGCAATTCAGCTTATTTTTGCAAGGAAAAGATAGACTGAGACAAAGCTCATTTTGCTAAAATTGAGGTGATACATAAGACTGAGGCTAGCAGATTATTTAGGCTGGACAATGAGCACTTACAATTTCAACATCCAACCAGCCTTGATTTAATTTTCAATTTAATTCTTCCCTCTACAAAAGATACAGTTTAAATGAAGTAGAATGTTAGAAAGGTTTAAAGTTCTGGGTCACTTGATGACATGCAACAGCTTCAATAACTGTTGACCAAGCAGATTGAAAGTCATTGAAATGCTAATAGATCTAGTTTCACATGTGAGTTAGGCAGAAGATGAAATGATTGTTGCTCAGCTGGAACAATCCATAATTGATGTTCTTCTGCACGGAGTGTGAAGAGAATAAAGTTTGATAAATGAAATAGCCTAATTCACTCACTTCCTTACGTAAGTCCACCTCTAGCAAGTTCACACATAGCATTTTCTAAAGACACCCACGTTTTCACTTTCACTGAATCTATAAATCTTGTTTTTTTTTTAACTTTTCCTTCCTGGTTATTCAGGAATTTTGCCAACTCCATGATATAATGACATTAAATAACTGATGTTCTAATTCCAAATATCTGGTGATCATACAAAGGTACTTAATCAATAACATTGGGTATCTTTTTAAAAAGTGTTCTTCCTGAATTCTTCCAAACCACCATGTCTTAACTCACACGGAGACCCGTTCGCCTATTGTCCCTCTCTTTGCTGTTTGATTGGCTCCTGGTTAAGCCAATTTTAAATTTTAATTTTAAAACTTAATTTTAAAATTTTGGTTTCAAAATTCTCATCCTTGAGTCTCACCATGTGACTCTCCATAATCTCATTCCTCCCTATTTATGTAATCTCCTCCAGCCCCACAGCTTTTCACAATCTCGGTGCTATATTAACTGAAATATCCTTAGCATCTCAAATTTAATCAATCCACCAGTACTTCCAGTGAACAAGTATGCTGTTTGGTGTCAGATTTGGCCAATGATTCTACAAAATACCTTGGGACCGCTTATTGTGTTGTAGATACTATATAAAGGCAAATAGTTGTAGCTGTAACTTTAAAAAAAAAGCACACACAGCTTTAATATATATTTTATGTGGAGTTTCTGCTTTTTGAATAAATGGAGGAAATCTGTCATCTTTACCTGGCATACGTGTGGCGCCAGACCTACAGTGATGTGGTTGATTCCTAACTGCCCTCTGGGCAATTGGAGATGTGGAAGAAATGCTGGCCCAGTCAGAGACACCCAGATCCCTTGAACAAGATTTTTTTTAAAAAAGATAGAGGGATACTGCTGTTAATAAGAGATGGGGCCATAACATTCATAAGAGAGGATTATAGACTAAAAGAACGAGGTGTAGAATCTGAGATAGTAGGAACTGCAGATGCTGGAGAATCC